GAAAATGTCTGTGCTGCCCAGAGCAATCTACACTTCTCAATGCCATCCCTATTAAAATACCATTGCCATTTTTCAAGAAGCTAGAACAATCCTAAAATTTGTATGGAATCAGAAAAGACCCTGAACTGCCAAGGGAATGTTGAAAAAGAAAAACAAAGCTGGGGGCATCACATTCCCTGGCTTCAAGCTATATTACAAACTGTGATCACCAAGACAGCATGGTATTGACACACAAACAGACACGTAGGCCAATGGAAAAGAATAAGAATAGAGAATACAGAAATGGACCCTCACCTCTATGGTCAACTAATCCTCAACAAAGCAAGAAAGAACATCCAATGGAAAAAGACAGTCTCTTCAATAAATGGTGTTGGGAAAATTGGACAGCCACCCACAGAAGAATCAGACTGGATCATTCTCTTAAACCATACACAAAAATAAACTCAAAATGGATGAAAGTCCTAAATGTGAGCCAGGAATCCATCAAAATCCTAGAGGAGAACATAGGCAGTAACAACTTTGACATCGGCCACAGGGAAAAAAAGCAAAAATGAACTTTTGGGACTTCATCAAGATAAAATGTTTCTGCACAGCAAAGGAAACAGTCAACAAAACTAAGAGATAACCCACGGAATGGGAGAAATATTTGCAAATGACGTTATAGATAAAGGGCTGGTACCTGTGATATATAAGGAACTTCTCAAACTCAATGTCCAAAGAACAAATAATCCAGTCAAGAAATGTGCAGAAGTCATGAACAAACACTTCTCCAGAGAAGACATTTAAATGGCTAACGGACATATGAAAAAATGTTCACCATCCCTAGCCATCAGGGAAATACAAATCAAAACCACAATGAGATACCACCTTCCACCAGTTAGAATGGCTAAAATTAACAAGACAGGAAACAACCAGGGTTGGTGAGGATTTGGAGAAAGGGGAACCCTCTTACACTGATGGTGGGAATACAAGCTAGTACAGCCACTCTGGAAAACAGTATGGAGGTTTCTCAAGATGTTAAAAATAGAATCACCCTACAACCTAGCATTTGCACTACTGTGTATTTACCCCAAAGAAACAGTTTTTGTGAAAGGAAAGGGCACCTGCAACCCAATATTCATAGCAGCAATGTCCACAATAGCCGAACTGTGGAAGGAGATGAGATGCCCTTCAACAGAAGAATGGAGAAAGAAGTTATGGTTCATATATACAATGGGATATTACTCAGCCATCAGAAAGGATGAATACCCACCATTTGCACTGACATGGATTGAACTGGAGGGTATTACAGTAAGTGAAAGAAGTCAATCAGAGAAAGACAATTATGATATGGATTCACTCATATGTGGAATATAAGGATTAGCACAGAGGATCATAGGGGATGGATGGGAAAACTGAATGGGAAGAAATCAGAGAGGGAGACAAACCATGAGAGACTCTTGACTTCAGGAAGCAAACTGAGGGTTACAGAAGGGAGTGGTGTTGGGGGATGTGGTAACTGGTTGATGGGTATTAAGGAGGGCATGTGTTGTGATGAACAACTTTTTTTTTTAGTTTTATATGAAACTAATGAATCATTACATATTACTTAAAAAACTAATGATGTACTTACAGGTAGCTAACTTAACATAATAAAAAATAAAAATAAAATAAAGTAAAACAAAATAAAATGTGGTGTATATGTGTGTGTGTGTGTGTGTGTGTGTGTGTGTGTATACATATATATATATATGATGGAAATTTCCTCAGCCATCAAAAGGTATAGAATCTTACCTTATTCATCAATGTGGGTGGAACTGAAGGGTAATATGCTGAGTGAAATAAGTCAGTCAGAGAAAGACAAGTATCGTATTATTTTACTCATATGTGGAATATAAGAAATAGCACAGAGGCTCATAGGGGAAGGGAGGGAAAACTGAATGGGAAATCATCAGAAAGGGAGATAGGGATACCTGGGTGGCTCTGTCAGTTAAGCATCTGCCTTTGGCTCAGGTCATGATACCAGGGTCCTGGGATTGAGTCCTGAATCAGGGTCTTTGCTCAGCTGGGAGCCTGCTTCTCCTTCTGCCTGCTCACCCTGCTTGTGCTCTCACTCTCTCTCTCTGACACATAATGAAATCTTAAGAAAAAAAAGCGGGGCAAATCATGAGAGACTCTTTAGTAAACAAACTGAGGGTTGCTGTGGGAAAGTGTGTTGGGGGATAGGGTAACTGTGATGTGCATTAAGTAGAGCACACGATGTGATAAGCACTGTGTGTTATATGCAACTGATGAATTACTGAACTGTACATCTGAAATTAATGATGTTGGCTTATTGAAGTTATAAAGAAAAAAAAAGAAGTTGCTGCCTGTGTTCTGCTTAGGATTTGACATATTCCTGTCTCACATTTAGATCTTTCATCCATTTTCAGATTATTTTTGTTTATGGTGCAAGAAAACAGTCCAGATTCATTCTTCCACATGTAGCTGTTCAATTTTCGCAACACCATTTGTGGAAGAGATTGTCCTTATTCCATTAGATATTCTTCCCGCTTTGTTGAAAGTTAGTTGACCATAGCATTGAGTGTCCATTTTTGGGTTCTCTATTCTGTTCCATTGATAAATGTGTCTGTTTTTGTGCTATTACCATAATGTCATGATGATTACAGCCTTGTACTATAGCTTTAAGTACATAATCCTGTTGCTTTCATGTTCGGTTTTCATTTACACCATTCCTCTGGCTGCTATGGGTCTTTTGTGGTTCCATACAAATTTGAGGATTTTTTGTTTCACCTCTGTGAATAATGTGGATGGTATTTTGATAAGCACTGCAGTCCAGTATAAGTTGCTCTGGGTAGCATAGAAATTTTCACAATATTTATTCTTCCAATCCATGAACGTGGAATATTTTTCCATTCCTTTGTGTTTTCATCAATTTCTTTTATAAATGTTCTATAATTTTCAGGGTACAGATACTTCACCACTTTGGTTTGGTTTATTCCTAAGTATCTTATGGTTTTTGGTGCAATTGTAAATGGAATGGATTCCTTGATTTCTCTTTCTTCTGCCTCATTGTTAGTGTACAGAAATACAACTGACTTCTCTGCTTTGATTTTATATCCTGCAACTTTGCTGAATTTTTGTATGAGTTCTAGCAATCTTTTGGTGTAGTCTTTTGGGTTTTCTACATAGAGTATCATGTGGTCTGAGAACAGTGAATGTTTGACTTCTTCTTTGCTGATTTTGCACCTTTTTCTTTTTCTGATTGCTGAGTGTTTTAGTACTATGTGGAACAACAGTGGTGAGAGTAAGACATTCCTGTTGTGTTCCTGACCTTAGGGGAAAAGTTCTCAGTTTTTCCACATTGAGGATGATATTCGCTGTGGGCTTTTCATATATGGCTTTTATCACATTGAGGTATGTTGCTTTTATCAATACATGGTGGACAGTTTTTATAGAGAAAGGATGCTGCTATTAGTTGGTCTTCTAGATCACTGATTCATTCTTCTGCCTCGCTTACCCTAGCTGTTAGATTATCTAGATTAGATTGGATCTCACTGATAGCATTCTTAAATTCTGCCATTTTATCTTTCATTTCTGCCCTTAGAGACGCTGTGTTGCCATTAATTGATTTCTCCTTTCTAGCTATTGACTTCATAACTTCTACCTTGCATTCCATTTCCAACATCTTGGTTATATCTGTATCCATTTGTAATTCTGTGGCAGAAGTCACAGTCTCTGAGTCTTTCTTATTTTGGGCATTCCTCCTCCTAGTGATTCTATTGAGGGGTGGTTGAGGGAATGTACTGAGTCCAAATTACTGACCACAACCCAAGAAAGACGCACCTGTTTTATAGGGACCTTAAGGTTGCCAGTCTCTTGTTCTCACAGCCTGTCTTCTGGGGGAGGGGCTTGCCACACTGTTACTCAGGCAATCCTGTTTGGGCAGAGTTGCCATGCCCTCTGTGTGTGGGGGGGGGATGGTCTCTGTGATAACCGATTTTGGGGGGCTTTATTTCCCTGGCAGTTTTCCCTTGTGGCTTTCCACGTCTCTTCCAAGAGTCAGAGCAGAAGAGATCATTTCCAACACTCTGCCTCAGAGCAGACAGATCACAGTCTGTTCTTCAGTGAGCTCTCCAGGCCACACTATCTCCATTTCTGTCTGTGCTGCTATAAACTGCAGGGTCCTGGGTTGTGTGCCCCTTAGAGGTGCTCCCAGTCCTCACCTCCAGGATGGGGCACAGGGGCACATCTGCACCCTTTGTGCTTCTAAAACTGCCAGTCGCTCCCAGTTCACACACACAGCCCCGCTGTTCCGGGTTTCAGATCTACAGGTGATCAGAAAAGGAAAAGGTAAAGGTAGGTTTGGAATAATTCAGAAGACTTGTGGAAGAAGTTGCCATCTGGGGCAGGCTTGAGATGGGGCAGACAAGCAAAGCCAAGGAGGAGAGATGAGTCTGGCAGGTTTTCAGATGATTCTGATGAAAGCAGAGGAGTGAGAAATTAGTAGAAGTCACTGGAAAAGTTAACTGGAAAAAAGTGTGGGAAATCCTAAATTCTGGAGTTAGAATTTTAAGTAGTATGTCTTTTGCAAAGAGGAGGCATTAATAGGTCTCAAGCAAAGGAGTGGTGTGGCATCGGGAATATTTTCTGAAGGTAAATTTGGCAGCATCATGGGAACTGACTGAATGTATAGAAACTGGAGCCAGAAAGACAAGTTAGAAGACTGACACAATCTTGAGCCAGAAAAAGATGGTGGAGATAGAAATAAGAGAAGAAGGGTAACAGGTAACATTCAGAAGGAAGATTCAATATAACATAGTGTAGAATTAATCTAGGGAAAGGTAAGTGAAGAGGATTTAAACTGCAGTGATACACAGACAGAAGGTTCAGAAGGGTGGAGACAGATGAAAGATCATTGAGTTTCATCCAAAGAACATGATTAACAATGACATCAGTAAAATAAAAGTCCCAGTGAGTATTTATCCTCTGATAACTAAACCCGATATTTTCAAAAGTTATTATGAATCTGGAAGAATGTATATGTTTTCATCTTGAGAGACTTCAGAAGTACTAGGCTTCTGGAAGTTATAATATTGGAATGGCATCTCATTTCCATAGATATGCTCCTCGAAACTGGTCTGCTGAGTGTTCTCATATAGTTCTTTATCAGTTTCTTCTTTAGGTTTGGGAGCAGCACTTTCCACATTTTCATAGCTGCCATGTGTGTTAGTCCCTCTCCCAGAAGATCTGCAGTCTTGGTTCTGAAATGAGATTTTATTCCTTGAGCTGATAGCGAGGAGACTTGAGAGTGTCTTAGTATAGTCTTTTCTCCTGCTGCTTCTCCTTTGCAAGACCCTTGGCAAGGTAAACTGCACTGGATTAGCATGTTTCCAACACCAAACACACCCAATTCCACAGATCAACAAGAGGAAAAGAAGGGAAATTCCTATTGAAGTGGCCACTGATGTATTTCCACAGCTTTTCAACATTTCTGCACAAGCACTGTTGTTTAGTGATATGGGGGAGCCCTTAATGAATTCACAGGTGCAGACAAATGTAATTCCTTTTAGGGTTTTGTTAAAAAGTAATCCTGGAAGCTCTTTTAGGCATTTCTCTTTCAGATGTTGAAGAACATCATTTGGCAAAGTCCTGATACAATTAGAGGAGAGATTGAATAAACTTAGCCTTGGACGATCCTTCTCATTTTATGTGATGCTTTTTATATTACAATCCTTAATGTATAATTGCACTGTGTTGAGGGGATTTTAATTGACTTCACTTCACTTTCTATCAATGAATCACAAGATGAAGCAAAATTGAGTGGAAGATAATGGCAGAGCAGACAACTCAAGAAAGAGAAGGTTGACGATCTGCCATCCAGACACCTCCTGGTTAAATGGTGGGCAGGGATCAGGTCTTTTCATGTGTATATTCCTAGCAAATAGCACAGTACCTTCCTTCCCGCAGGAATCTGCTGGGTTTGGAGACTCCACACGGGGTCGTGAGCCAGAGACAGAAACGCTTGGTCACAGGCCGGGTGAGTACGGAGTGTGGCTGGAGACCGGGGAGACGGGAATGACTGACTGCTTTTCTCTGGGGGTGCACTGAGGAGCGGGGCCCCAAGTTCTTGGCTCCTCAGGGGTGGAGATTGGGAGGCTGCCATTTTCTCTCTCATCCTCCAAAGCTGTAGGGAAAGCTTGCAGGGAACAAAAGCTCGACACTATATCATTCTTAAAGGGTCTATCCAACAAGAAGATCTAACAACTGTAAATATCTACGCCCCCAACATGGGAACAGCCATCTACATAAGCCAATTGTTAACCAAAATAGTCATACTGATAACAATACGTTAATTGTAGGAGACCTCAATACTCCACTCTCAGCAATACACAGATCATCTAAGCAGAAAATCAACAAAGAAACAAGAGCTTTGAATGACACACTGGAACAGGTGAACCTCATAGATATATACAGAACATTCCACCCTAAAACAACAGAATACTCATTCTTCTCAAGTGCACATGGAACTTTCTCCAGACTAGGACACATACTGGGTCACAAATCAGGTCTCAACTGATACCAAAAGATTGAGATTATTCCCTGCATATTTTCAGACCATAGTGCTTTAAAACTGGAACTCAGTTACAAGAAAAAAGTTTTGAAGAAATTCAAGCACTTGGAAGCTAAAGACCACTCTGCTCAAGAATGTTAGGGTCAACCAGGAAATCAAAGAAGAACTTAAACAATTCATGGAAACGAATGGGAATAAAAACACATCTGTCCAAAACCCTTGGGATATTGCAAAGGAGGTCCTAAGGGGGAAATACCTGGCCATCCAAGCCTCACTCAAAAAAATAGAAAAATCCCGAATTCATCAACTCTACACCTTAATGAACTAGAGAAAAAGCAACAAACGGTGCCTAAGCCACACATTAGAACAGAAATAATTAAGCTTAGAGCAGACATCAATGAATTAGTAACGAGAAACACAGTAGATCAGATCAACGAAACTAGAAGCTGATTCTTTGAAAGAATTAATAAGATCGATAAACCACTGGCCAGACATATCCAAAAGAAAAGAGAAAGACACAAATTAATTAAATTATGAATGAAAAGGGAGAGATCATGACTAACACCAAAGAAATAGAAACAATTATTAGAAATTATTATCAACAAATATATGCCAATAAGCTGGGCAAACTGGATGAAATGGATGTCTTCCTGGGAACCCATAAACTCCCAAGAGTGAAACAGGAAGAAATTGACAACCTGAATAGGCCAATAACCAGTAAGGAGTGATCAAAAACCTCCCAAAAAACAAGAGTCCAGGGCCTCATGGATTCCCTCGGGAATTCTACCAAACATTCAAAGAAGAAATAATATCTATTCTCCTGAAGCTGTTTCCAAAAATAGAAACAGAAGGAAAGCTTCCAGACTCATTCTATGAAGCCAGCATTACCTTAATCCCAAAACCAAAGACCCCATCAAAAAGGAGAATTTCAGACCAATATCCCTGATGAATATGGATTCCAAAATCCTCAACAATATCCTAGCTAATAGGATCCAACAATACATTAAAAGGGTCATCCACCACAACCAAGTGGGATTTATCTCGGGGATGCAAGGGTGGTTCAACATTCACAAATCAGTCAATGTGACAGAACACATTAATAAGAAGAGAGAGAAGAACCATATGGTCCTCTCAATTGATGCAAAAAAAAAAAAAGCATTTGACAAAATACAGCATCCTTTCCTGATTAAAACTCTTCGGAGTATAGGGATAGAGGGAACATTCCTCAAGTTCATAAAATCCCTCTATGAAAAACCCACAGCAAGTATCTTCCTCAATGGGGAAAAGCTGAGAGCCTTTCCCTTAAGATCAGGAACACATCAAGGATACCCACTCTTGCCACTATTGTTCAACATAGTACTAGAAGTCCTAGCCTAAGCAGTCAGACAACAGAAAGAAATAAAAAGTATTCAAATTGGCAAAGAAGATGACTTTGGAAACAGTCAACAAAACATCTCTCTCTTCACAGATCACATGATACTTTATGTGAAAATCCAAAAGACTCCACCCCCAAATTACTAGAACTCATACAACAATTCAGTAATGTGGAGGTACAAAATCAATGCACAGAAATCAGTTGCTTTCTTATACACTAACAATGCAATTGTAGAAAGAAAATTAGAGAAACGATTCCATTTACAATAGCACCAAAAACCATAAAATACCTCAGAATAAACCTAACTGAAGAGGTAAAGGATCTATACTCTAGGAACTACAGAACACTCATGAAAGAATTTGAAAAGACATTAAAAGATGGAAAAATATTCCATGCTCATGGATTGGAAGAATAAACATTGTTAAAATGTCTATGCTGTCCAGAGCAATCTAGACCTTCAATGACATCCCGATCAATATTCCAATGACATTTTTCAAAGTGCGGGAACAAAAAGACTAAAATTTGTATGGAATCAGAAAAGACTCCGAATCACCAAGGAAATGTTAAAAAAGAAAAACAAAGCTGGGGGCATGATGTTGCCCGATTTCAAGCTATATGACAAAGCTGTGATCACCAAGACAGCATGGTACCAGCACAAAAACAGACATATAGACCAATGGAACAGAATAGAGAGCCCAGATATGGACCCTCAACTCTATGCAACAAATCAGGAAAAAACATGCAATGGAAAAAAAGACAGTCTCTTTAATAAATCGTGCTGGGAAAATTGGACAGCCACATGCAGCGGAATGAAACTCGACTATTCTCTAACACCATACACAAAGATAAACTCAAAATGGATGAAAGACCTCAATGTGAGACAGGAATCCATCAAAATCCTAGAGAAGAACATAGGCAGTAACCTCTTTGACATCAGCCACAACAACTTCTTTCAAGATACATCTCCAAAGGCTAGTGAAGCAAAAGCAAAAATGAACTTTTGGGACTTTGCCCATTTTTAAAGTTGAGTTATTTGATTTCTGCTATTGAGTTGTATGAGTTCCTTATATATTTTGAATGTTAAGCTCTTATCAGATATATAATTTACAACCATTTTCTCCCACTCCATAGATTGCCTTTTCATTGTTTTGATGGTTTCCTTTGCAGTGCAGAGGCTTTTTAGTTTGATGTAGTTCCACTTGTTTGTTTGCTTTGGTTGCCTGTGTTTTCAGTCAATTCCAAAAATTCACTCTCAATACCAATGATAAGGAGATTTTACCCTATGTTTTCTTCTAGGAGTTTTATGTTTTCAGGTTTTACCAAGTCTTTACTACATGTTAGGTTGACTTTTGTGTATTGTGTAAGATTCCGTTCTTTTGCATATGAATATCAAGTTTTCAATGTGGTGCCATTTTATGGGAGCATTTAGGCCATTCACGTTGAGAGTGATTATTGAAAGATATGAATTAATTGTCATGTTGCCTGTGAACCACACTGAGATACCACCTTACACCAGTTAGAATGGCAAAAATGGACAGGGCAAGAAACAACAAATGTTGGAGAGGTTGTGGAGAAAGGGGAACCTTCTTACACTGTTGGTGGGAATGCAAGTTGGTACAGCCACTTTGGAAAACAGTGTGGAGGTGCCTCAAATATTTAAAAATAGAGCTACCCTATGACCCAGTAATTGCACTCTTGGTTATTTACCCCAAGACACAGATGTAGTGAAAAGAAGGGCCATATGCACCCCAATGTTCATAGCAGCAATGTCCGCCATAGCCAAACTGTGGAAAGAGCCAAGATGCCCTTCAACAGATGAATGGATAAACAAGATGTGGTCCATATATACAGTGGAATATTACTCAGCCATCAGAAAGGATGAATACCCAACTTTTACATCAACATGGATGGAACTGGAGGAGATTATGCTAAGTGAAATGAGTCAAGCAGAAAATGTTATCATCTGGTTTCACTTATTTGTGGAACATAAGGGATAGCATGGAGGACATTAGGAGAAGGAAGGGAAAATGAAGGGGTTGGGAATTGGAGGGAGAGATGAACCATGAGAGACTATGTACTCTGAGAAACAAACAGGGTTTTAGAGGGGAGGGGAATTGGTTAGCCCAGTGATGGGTATTGAGGAGGGCACATACTGCATGGAGCACTGGGTGTTATATGAAAACAATGGATCATGGATCACCACATCAAAAACTAATGATGTATTGTATGGTGACTAAGATAACATAATAAAATTTAAAAAAATGCATATCAAGTTTTCCAACACCACTTATTGAACAAAACTATGCTTTCTCCATTATATATTCTTGGCACCTTTGTTGAGATTTAGTTGACTGTATGTTTGTGTGTTTATTTTTGTAAAGAGCCTAGATTTGCATTCTTTGTTTTCTTCCTGAGATTCTGTTAAGTCAGGTATTCCTCATTTTGTAATTGCACAATTGATTTATTTTAAAAACAAGTTCAAGATTTCACCTTATTCTTTTTGGATTACATATTGTTGGTTTTCATTTGTCTGTTGAACTCCCTTTAGATATGGTTGTTTAACCAGCTAAATTCACTAAACCATAATGTTGTCTAGTGTTTTCCGTATTATCCACAAAGATTTTCTGAGAAATTTTACTTTGTGTATATATTTGAATTTTGGTTGAGCCATTTTAGGTTGCAGATATCATGACACTTTACCCATAAATACACTAGCATGAAGTGCTTTTAAAAAAAGATATTCCCTTATTAATGCTAATACTATCCTCACAGTACAGAACATTAACAATAATTCATATGCCAGTCAGCACTTAAATTTTCCCCATTAGGTTCCCAGAATATAATTTTTAAACCAGATTTCAATGAATATACTCTCATTTTTTAAGTCGCTTTAGAATAGTCCCCTTTAAGTTTTTCCTCCATAACATAGGTATTTTTTAACTTATATTTTATGTAGTTAGCATGCAGTGCAATATTGGTTTCTGGAGTAGAATTCAGTGACTCA